GGTTTTAAACTCCAAACACACCGTGCTACTTATGATCTTCAAAGAAAGTATGTTTTCAGGACTAGAGTGTCTAGAATTGCCCGCCGAAGTAGGTACCATACTTAAGCAATTTGAAGACGTATTTCCCGAAGAAATTCCATCCGGCTTACCTCCGATCCGTGGAATCGAACACAAAATTGATCTCGTCCCCGGATCCGCCTTACCAAACCGGCCCGCATATAAGATGAACCCTACGGAGGCTAAGGAGTTAGAATCACAAGTTCAGGACCTCATGTCGAAGGGTTACATCCGTGAGAGTCTTAGCCCTTGTGCCGTGCCCGTGTTGTTAGTACCTAAGAAAGACGGGACGTGGAGAATGTGCGTGGACTGTCGGGCTATCAACAACATTACCATCAAGTACCGACACCCAATACCTTGCCTCGACGACATGTTAGATGAACTTGATGGAGCCACTATCTTTTCGAAGAGTGGGTATCACCAAGTTCGCATGAAAGAAGGAGACGAATGGAAGACCGCATTTAAAACCAAGCAAGGCCTCTACGAGTGGCTAGTCATGCCGTTCGGTCTCACCAATGCCCCTAGTACGTTCATGCGACTCATGAACCATGTCTTAAGGGCCTACATTTGTAAGTTTGTAGTCGTTTATTTCGATGACATTCTTATTTATAGCCGGAACTTATCCGAACACTTATCACACCTTGAGCAAGTTCTTGAGACTCTCCGCAAGGAAGAACTCTATGCTAACCTCAAGAAGTGTGTGTTTTGCACTGATCAACTAGTCTTTTTAGGTTTTGTTGTAAGTTCACAGGGCATACAGGTTGATCAAGAAAAGATTAAAGCCATAGAAGAATGGCCGACTCCCACTACCATTGGCCATGTTAGAAGCTTTCATGGTTTGGCTAGTTTTTATAGTCGTTTTGTGAAGGACTTCAGCACCGTAGCTGCACCCCTTACCGCCGTGATCAAGAAGCATGTGGCGTTTTCGTGGGGAGAAGCTCAAGAGAGAGCCTTCCGGGAGCTTAAAGATCGTTTAACGCATGCTCCTATTTTAGCTTTACCTAACTTTGACAAAACTTTTGAGGTTGAATGTGATGCTTCAGGATTAGGTATTGGAGCGGTGCTTACCCAGGGAGGACGCCCTATAGCTTACTTTAGCGAGAAGTTAAGCGGAGCTACACTCAATTATCCGACGTATGATAAGGAGCTTTATGCATTGGTCCGATCGTTGGAAGTTTGGCAACATTACTTGTTAGCCAAGGAATTTGTGATCCATACCGACCATGAGACGTTGAAGCACCTTCGAGGCCAAACTACGCTAAAGAGAAGGCATGCACGGTGGCTAGAGTTCGTAGAGACTTTTCCGTACATCATCAAGTACAAGAAAGGAAAGGAAAACATTGTAGCCGATGCACTTTCACGTCGACATGCTCTCATCACCACCATGGACGCTAAAGTTTTAGGGTTTGAACACGTGAAGATTGCTTATCTAGAAGATACCGACTTTGGATCCATTTTTAAGGAGTGTGACAAGACAGCTTTCGGACCCTACTACAAGCATGACGGTTACTTATTCCGAGATAAGCGACTATGCATACCCCAAGGATCGATGCGGGAGCTTATCACCCGAGAGGCACATAGTGGAGGACTCATGGGCCATTTTGGAGTAGACAAGACCATGGCTATGCTTATGGAACATTTCTTTTGGCCACATATGAGAAAAGACGTCGAACGGTTTTGCGCAAAATGCATCACTTGCCTCCGCGCTAAATCCAGGTCACACCCCCACGGTTTATATATGCCTTTACCTATTCCTAATGCTCCATGGGAGGATATTTCTATGGATTTTGTCTTAGGTTTGCCAAAGATTCAACATAAGGACTCCATCTTCGTGGTAGTCGATCGCTTCTCAAAAATGGCGCATTTTATACCGTGTGACAAGACCAACGATGCCACTCAAACCGCCGATCTATTCTTTAAAGAAGTAGTGCGCATACACGGAGTGCCTCGAACCATCGTTTCCGACCGTGACACCAAGTTCATGAGCCATTTTTGGAGGACGTTATGGCGGAAACTAGGAACCAAACTTCTTTTCTCCACCACTTGCCATCCACAAACGGACGGCCAAACCGAGGTTGTAAACCGTACTCTATCAACTTTACTTAGAGTAACGGTCGGTAAGAACCCTAGAAACTGGTTGGAATGTTTACCGTACATTGAATTTGCTTATAACCGAGCTACTCATTCCGCTTCCAAGTTTTGTCCTTTTGAAGTTGTTTATGGCTTTAAACCATTAACCCCGCTGGATTTGGCACCACTACCCCCGGGATCACAAACCGATCAAGACGGTAAACGCAAGGCGGAATTGGTCCAAAAGCTACATCAAACCGTTAAGGAGAACTTGGAGAAAAAGACGGAAAAATACAAGCAACGGATGGACAAGAACCGCAAAGAAGTCATCTTTGAACCCCGGCGATTGGGTTTGGTTACACTTGAGAACCGAGAGGTTTCCAACGAAGAGAAGTTCCAAACTATCCCCTCGCGGCGACGGACCTTTCAAGATAGTCGAACGAATCAACAACAACGCTTACCGGCTAGAACTCCCAGGTGAGTATAACGGGTCTAAAAGTTTCAATGTCACTGACTTATCTCCTTTTGATATAGGACGACCAGTTCTGAGGCCAGAACATTTTCAAGAGGGAGGGGATGATGAGGACATAGAACCGGACATCGACGAGTGCTCGACGGACGGCCACGAACCGGTAACGAGTGACCCGACACCAACAATCCCGACGGTCATAGTTGGACCAATGACCCGTTCACGTACGAGGAAGCTAAGAGAAACATTCAATGAAGGAGTTGAGGCCCTGATCAACGCAACCGGCCAAATGGATATTCTATCGGCCGACCCTCGACCCCCGGACGCGAGTGGAAGCCTCAACAAGTTCCATCGACCCAACAATGGAGAACAGACCAACCGAGGTAAGTTTCATCGACCAAATCCATATTTTAGGACTAACGATCGAGCCGGTTTTGCAGGAAACCCCCTAGAAACACGAGTCGATCGAGCATCGTCACCCGGCATCGACGACACGAACGCCCGAACGATCGACCCGGACGACCCACCACCAAATACCAAGGGATTCGAGATTCATCAACAAAGTGCTGATTTTAAAAGCTTTGATCGAGAGCGTTTGGAGAAACAACCCGCAGAACACGAAGAAGCTCGACAAGTACCACCCCCTGGACGCCGGAAAGCTTGTACGGAGCGAAGTCTCGAACCAAGTTGATCCAAACAACTTGGGCTTCGATAATCACTCGATAAGTGATGTTTCTGGAGACAACGATCGAAGCCGAAATGCCCACGACCGAGACGGATTGGGAGATGATCGAGAGGAGCACTACTACCGCCGTAACGGCATGTCCGAAGCCCGTAACACCGAGAATGGAGGACAAGGCCGTATAGGCTCGTACGAAGTTAAAGACTGCCTAGAGAACAAGAACCAAGGTGAAGAAGAAGAAGGAGAACCAGAGACAACTACGTGGCCTATCATTCCTCCGAATAAGGTAAGTTCGGTTTTCATTGTTTCCATTTTCTCTTAAGTGTTTTTGCAGGACCTGTCAACCGAACATTTTAGTTTTATTTCATTGAGTCTAAGTCCTAGAGAGTCGAACCTAAGCCTCCGACTTGTGGAGAGGGTTCACTTGTGCGAATGACACAAGTTTCCTTTTTGGTTGTTTTTCTTTACTTTATTTTGTAACCGTTAGTTTATTTGAGATTGAATCTCGACCCTCGAAGGTCATGGCTGAAGGACTATTAATAAAGTCCCATTCGCAGCCTTGTAGTCACGTTTTTAACCTAGATCAATAAAGTTGCACTTTCTTCTCTTGCGCCGTTTGCGAGTTGAGAGTTCTTACACGAGTATTCTTGAGTGGTTTCCCCTTGAATCAATCCGTGTGAGCTTGTTACTTGGTTGATCGAACCCCCTTGCTTCCCCTAAGCTATCTTGTTCCATTGAGTTTCGTCTTGTTTGTGGTTTTATCGAGAGAGAGCGAAGGCCAACTCGATCGACCCTAGTTCGTGCGTACGTGTTACCCTTGGAGCGTATATCACGAGGTTGTCCCTTTGATGCTCAAATCTCACATTGGTGTGCTGATCATTGTTTTGATTTCTAAGTGGAAAGGATGTTTGATTCATGTTTCTAATGTTTCAATTTTCGAGAGTTTATATGGTGGCTTGTTGTTTGAATATTAGATTTAGAACTGGTTCTGGCTCTGAATTAGGAGTTCTCCGCAATACTTAGGATTTTAGAATGATTACAACGAGCCACCATATAAACTCTCGAAACCTAACACCACAGCTACATGATCTCTCTTCTCCTTATGTTTTAATATATTTTGAATTTTTTTTATTTAATCACTATTGCAACGCTGGTCAAATAGTCATAAACTCCTGCAAATGTACCTATTTTAATTGCTAAACATGTCGTTCAAAACACTTAATAACGTTTGAAACCGCAACCTCTCCCTCAGGGAGTTCAAGATTGTTACTGGCTTGCCTTGCGGCCGGTTTCCTAATATGCAGAAGAGGAAGCGGAAAGGCACCGCTGGGAAAAAAATCCCTTTCTACAGCACGCTCTTCGGGTTGGAAGAGGATGTCACTGTTGACCGGGTCATCACTATGCTTAAGAACAAAATTGTGGAAGATAAAGAGATGCAGCGAATATATGTCTGTTTGGCTTTAGTTGATGGGTTCCTGGTCCCCACTTCTCAGTATCCTAAAATCGTGAAGGAGCACGTTGAAATGGCTGAGGATATGAATTTTTTCCTTTCCTATCCTTGGGTCCGTTTGTCCTTCGAAATGATGATGAAGTCTATCAAAGAGAGAGATGTCGAGCAATTGGCTACAACATGTGTTGTTGTTCAAGGTCTCTTGTACGCTTTACAGCTAGTGATTCTCCAAGCAGCTCCAGCCATCCAAGAAGGATCCCCGTCCGAGGAGCCCGATTGTAGCGATTCTGATGGAGGACCGGTGGCTGATGTAGGACACCCTTCCGCAGTACCTTTGAAGATTGCTAACGCCAGACGTCTAGGTTGCAATTTCGAGGTTAGTCTAGTATACCTCATTTTATCATTTAATTTTTAATTTATCGTTCTTATTAACACTTTATCCAGTTAATACGTATTTAGCATTTAAATATTTAAATTATCTTATTTGCAGTTATTGGTCGACCCAATAATATGCCCTGATCTCGAGTTGGAGAATGAGGATGATTTGCCTTGGGAAGATGATTCAGAGGACCCAGCGGTTGATAACAGTGTCTCCCTCGCGCCAAAGGGCTTTTTATTCAGTAACGATATGTTTACCGGTGGCTGTATACCGTCTCAGCTTGAGCTGGCCCCGAAGAAGCAGAAAAGGGGTGTTAAGGATAAAATTAGTTGTGCTCGGAAAGGTCAGATTGCTCCTCCTAGCCAACCTGCGTGTAGTACTGCTCAACGTTTATCTTCGGGAGCAGTTTCTGGACTAACCGGAACATGCAACCTTGCCACCATGTCGCGATTGCTTGATTCAAAACTTGTTGCTTTGGAGGACCGTATTATTAAAGGTGTTACCAATTGGTTTTTAAAAAATCCAAATATATTTGTTGAATCTGCTAGAACTTTGGCTAAAGAAGGATCTGCCGATAAGCAAGCAGCTGTGCCTCCTCCTCCTGCCCCTACAGTGAATGGCGTTAATGAAACACAAACTGCATTGGATGCTCAGAACGTTATTGATCCTGACATTTTTGGTAACTCAATTATGGAGATTCTGAAGTGCTATTCTCCCAACCAAACTGAGGTTTGGAACCTTTATTAACATTTCCACATTGTGTTTATGTTGTGTCTTTACATTTAACTCATCATAATTGTAGGTCACCGGGACTAGGCCGGAGGTACTGCCTCCATCATGCTCTAATATACAGGATCCCATCGCTGGCCATGGTCGAGTAAGTGTTTTTATTTTGAGGATGGAGACAAAAATTATGCAATAAACTAATTTTTAGCGAATATAAAATATAATATATGCTAAATTTTTTTATTATCTTTCTATGTGCTGTATCAGGGGCCCATTGAAGTAGATGGATATGATTTGGTTTCAAGTCCAATGGTTGGGTTCCTGTCTCATGTTTTATCAATATGTTGGTGTTCTCACTCCTTTTAAACATGCAGATCACTGTTTGTAGGTTGGCGTAGTTCCAAGTGGTGGCGGGGTAGAATCAGCTGCTGTAGATGAACTGACCGCTGCTGTCGCTGAAGGGACCGGTGACGGAGGCATTGAAAAGAAGTTGTCTGGTGACAATACCAGCCGAGAGGTATTATATTGATCTAATCAGTTAGATCTCTTTATTAAATGTATGATTATGGACATTTACCCTTTACTTTTGTTCTTTTCTCCAGTCACAAGAAACTGCTGCTACCGCTGAAGACGATGATGCTGCCGCTATAGGAATGGCTGCTGGCACCACTGAAAACCGGCCGTCTGGTGATACTGTCAGCCAAGAGATAGTATGTTCTTATAATTGGTTAGATCTCTGTCTTAAGTAAAAGATTATGCTCAGCCCTATTGAATTGTTCTTTTCCACAGTCTGAAGATATTGGAGCTGATAAATCTGTAGAAGCAGCGTTCGATGACCGTGAGTGTGGGAAGTCATTTGGCAGTACAGCAGATAAGTCACCGGTTAGTGATTAACATTGAATTTGTGTACCGTGGTCGTCAAAGTTAGTATATAGTATTGTAAGGGTTAGCTTAGTTTATATTTAGTTGATGTGTTTGATGTTGGTAGGACGATGACCCTTCTGCCAAAGTCTCTGACCAGATTGCATGCGGTATCATGGATCCATCTACCGCTATTGTGAAGGTTAGGATTCTTTTTAGAAGCTATGTTATTTCAACTGTTATATTACATGATTAGTTGTTTTGTATGGGGCATCTTTTAATTCCTTAAATGTATTGTTCAGTTATATTAAATATACCTTTAATCATCTCAATTAGGATGTAAACTTTGTCTAATCTGACAAATAAGTCTGTGGTTAATATGCATTTATTTGTCTTGAAGTTTTGTGATTTTTCCGTTAAGGACATTGTGCGTGACGAACCCATTGAAATTAATCCTAACACCGTTGTTGTAAGTTTCCGATTTTTATCTTATAACTCATCTGTTTGCTCACTTTGTAATGCTTACTTTTCTTTAGATGTTTTATTGTTTATTTTTTCTTTCTCTCAGATAATAGATCAGACAGCCGTTATCCTCACCCTTAGCTGATGGAGCTGAAGGAGATTGTGTATGTTTGTTATTGCTTACTTACCATTTTCCAATTTCAGTGTTATTAACCCTTGATTAAACTGACTCAGGTGGTGGAACCTTCAGCTGATGCTGCCGTATTAGGTGTTGAGAGTCAGGCTGGTCTCGTCGAGATGGATACCGACATGGTTAGTCATTAAGTTTAGAGTTACCTTTGTTCAAAACTATTTATGCTCGCTTGAATTAGAGGTGATCCATGTATTTTAAATTGTTTAAAGGAGTTATTTGATACCTATTTTATTAACGGTTATTTTATTTTATATCAAACACATGTCATGTCAAACACATGTCATTTTATTTTATCATTTTATATATTAATTTTATATCAAACACATGTCATGAAAATGTTTAATGGTCAAGCATATAACCTCATTCCTGTTAATATGATCCTATCTATGTAGGAAGTAAATGTTCTGAGTACCTAGGTAGAGGCTTCGGTCCAGCCCCGTGGGAGCCAGGTAACTTATTTTTACTTCTGTTCGTTGTCTTCTTCCGTCAAGTTTGGTAGTTTGGTTATTCCTAAACGCTGTTACGCATGATTTTTATGTAGGTAATTGTTTTGTTAATGATATTAGACTTGCCTGCCATTTTTAATCTGATTTAGTTTTCTTCTTACTATCTCGCTGGGATTTTTGACGCCTCTCCCCTTGGGGGACAGAGATGTACAAACGGAAATTGGGAAACATGTGTTATCTAATTTCGTCTTTATTGTATAATAATTGTTTCACATGTATTAAAACTGATTTACTCTCTAATTGATGTACCCTTTTATATAAGGTTGCTGTAGCTGTACCCGGGAGGAGGAGCAAAAGGTTAAGGACATTTTCTACTAAGTTGGATGGTTGGTTCCAGTACGACAAGAAGACTAAAGTGTTAGTTGGACACCCTTCTCCGGTCGTTAAGTATCCTAACCATATCGATGACCCTGAGGAACGGTTCTAGAATTCTATTAAGAAGTTGAAGTCCTCCAGGTACCCTTTTATGGTGTTTAATGATTTAACAGGTAAATATTATGGTATACTAACTATGTGAATCTATTCGATTCCGTAGATCAATCAGTATTGGTGGTGAGGCTTCTCTTTCTGTCAAAGATGTTCTTGATATAATAGAGAGAAAAAAACATCTCTCATCCAAGGTAAGTTTTTTATTAACTTTGATTCATAGCTGTGTGAACTATAGATAACTTTGACGTACCCTATTTCTCAGGTCATGGATGCTTTGATCAAGTTTAGCCGGCACTTATTACAGACTGAGGACCTTAATGGTGAAAAACTGCGTGTTGACTTATTAGATTCGAAGTTTGTATCTTTGTTGTTTTGACAATTCCCGAAGTTTTCCAAATCCACTGCTCACGCTAAATTCAAATTTCCTGGCGACATTGTTGCCCAACTAGTAGGTAGTGGAGAAAGTGGACTTGCTGAGCTTTTTACCGAAGAAGCTGACTTCCTGTATGCGCCATTTAATTTTGATAGGAAGCATTGGGTGTCTTTGTGCATCGATCTCTGCAGCACGAGTATCGTTGTTCTTGACTCCAATACCCAACTTCCGAAAGATCATGATATATTTGGTGAAATACAACCCTTTGCGCCAATGCTGCCATATCTTCTCATCCAGGCTGGGGTTTATTATGGGAAAAGGAAGAGGTCAACCACCCCTTTCAGCATCACAAGGCCATCTAGCATACCCCAAGTCAAGTGCCTTGCAGACTCTGGCATTATGTCAATTTTTCTGATACACGCACATGCAACCGGTGGGTTAGAAGAGTGTGGTGAGTTGACCGTCGAGCAATTGGATCCAGAGCTGAAGAAATTTGTATATGCTATAATTCTTGCCAGTGTCGAGTAGGTAGGTCATTGGTTGTTTTGCACAATTCTCCTGGCAACTTAGTTCTTGTCCTTTAATGTCTTTCTTATGGTTGTTTATAAGTGTTCTTCTTAGATCACTTTCGCTGTTCCGGTTTGTTTTGGTCTGCCCCTCGTGAACAATTTATTGTATTACCTGTGACAAACACTTGCTACTCAAAACGTACCACTTAACCGTAATGTTTGATCTAGCAGATAACAGGAAATGTCTATGGCACTTAAAATTTTCATTTAGGTCTTAAGGTTCGGACAAAGACCCATTTGCAATGGTAACAAATAGTTTAACTAGATAGCGTAATAAATATTAATAATCCAGTATTTATATGTCATTTCATTTTGACTTTGATATCATGATTCAATGATTCAACCCGATAATAAAAGATTTATCCGAATTATTGGCAACGTAGATCATTAACTGTTCTTTTATCATAATACAATATCATTTATACAACTAATAAATTAAGTAGCATATTTTGTTTATCAAAATTTAATGTTTAGCATGTTAAGTTTATAAAGTATTGCTTAGGTTTTAATATTTGTAATTAATCAAAATAGATATTTGTTTTGGGTTGATAACATTGGTGTTTTGATGTGATAAAATAGGGGTTTAGTATGACAAAGCTCCGCCCTCACAGATTTTTATTATTTGAATAAGTTTGGTTTGGGTTTTACCTTAAACAGTATTTCACTATTAACATATGATTAAAGGATAAATTATTTAGGTTTTGGTTGGCAAAGCAGCTGTTAGGGTTTAGATTTTGGTTAGGGTTTAGTTTTTATTAATAAATGAAATTATTTTTTATGGTTTGGGTTGGCAAAGCAGTTGTTAGGGTTTAGATTTTGGTTAGGGTTTAGTTTTTATTAATAAATGAAATTATTTTTTAGGTTTGGGTTGGCAAAGCTGCTGTTAGGGTTTAGATTTTGTAATTAACGATTTGGGTTGTCAAAGCAGATGTTTGGGTTGATATATTATCGTTGTAACTGATTAGGTAAAATACCGTTTACTATTGTATCAAATAGTTTACCTAGCTAACGTAGTCAATATCAATAATCCAGTTTTTATATGTCATTTGATTTTAACTTTGATATCATGATCAATGCTTCAACCCGATAATAAAAGATTTATCAGAATTATAGTTATCTAATGTGGCGATCTACCTAGTTAGATGATTATAAATTGCAATGATAGAGTGTTATATATCTGAAGCAAGAATCTTGTTACACACTAAGTGCATTAAGATACTGTTATTTTTTATGGTTTGGGTTGGCAAAGCAGCTGTTATGGTTTAGATTTTGGTTAGGGTTTAGTTTTTATTAATAAATAAAATTATTTTTTAGGTGTGGGTTGGCAAAGCAGCTGTTAGGGTTAGTTTTTATTAATAAATAAAATTATTTTTTAGGCTTGGGTTGGCAAAGCAGCTGTTAGGGTTTAGATTTTGTAATTAACGATTTGGGTTGTCAAAGCAGATGTTTGGGTTGATATATTATCGTTCTAACTGATTAGGTAAAACACCATTTACTATTGTATCAAATAGTTTACCTAGCTAACGTAGTCAATATCAATAATCCAGTTTTTATATGTCATTTGATTTTAACTTTGATATCATGATTCAAAGGTTCAACCCGATAATGAAAGATTTATCAGAATTATAGTTATCTAATGTGGCGATCTACCTAGTTAGATGATTATAAATTACAATGATAGTCTGTTATATATCTGAAGCAAGAATCTTGTTACACACTAAGTGCATTAAGATAATGTAAAGTTGCTAACTAAGGTTGATGTTATTGATGGCGACTATGCATTGCAACATCATTCCAGGAAATGAACAAAGAAGCTACATTTATTCTGGCTACCTTGACTAATCTACTTTAGAATGTAAACTAGTAATGCAAGGATAATAAAAGCTGCATCAACAGCATTTTTCAGTTCCGTGGCGATTGTCTTTTTTTCTTTTCACACCAACACCTTAAGTCTTGCCAACTCTTTAACATTTACCGAGTGGAGATCGAAGAGGTGAGATATCTCTTCTTTATGGACCAATAGAGTTTCTTCCATTTTATTTATAGTTGGGGACTCCCGATCCTGTCGCTTGAATTTTGTTATTTCTTGAACAATAGCTTCATCCCACCACTTCCAAATGTGAAATTCTCCATCCTGCACCCATTCTAAGTAAAAAACTAGACACTCCTCAATTATAACCTATTTTGAAATATACATCTCGTGGATAGGGTATGTGTAATATAGCCTTCCCGGGTTCGTTCTTGTCATTGAAGGTTCCAGCTGAGCCCTCCCGCCACAGTAACAAACTGTTGGAATACCACTGTCTTCATAATCCTCTCCTATCTGATCCACGCTTTTGGGTGTGTACAAACTTGACGACATTTGGTAGTAATTCTCAATGAATCAGAGTAGCTCCGCCTATATTCCCCAGAATTGTTAAAACTGAAGAACCCTTGGCCCCCAATTTCTTTAAATCATTTTTGACACAGCTGTACCCGCCTGTAGGCCCCCAATACCACTGAATTTTGTTATACATTAATAGTTTTTTTTAGTCATTAAGTTTATTTAAAGTTACTACTAATGGCTTTGTTACGATAATGGTTGGCTTTGTTTAGGAAGGTGATGTAGTAAACATATATCTATTTTGTCTTATTTATCCTTTACTTTGTATTATAATTTTAATAACCTACATAATCATTTTAACCGATAATGTTTTATTTACCATGATAAGATTTAACATTAGAATTATTATCTTTGTTAGATAACTTATCAGTTCCGTCTCGCCTATGGACCACCACTTTACAGCATAGAATTTATATAATAAGAGCATTATTAGTTGGTACTTTGGAGTATAGCGAATCAACAACGATTAATGGGGACCAAGTCTTTTTCATTAATTATAATTGAACAATGTTTAGCCAAACAATGTTCTTGTACTAAACATTGCTTAGTTAAACACAAAGTTGTACTTAACCCTTTCCGGGTGCTTACAGATAATTAAACATTTAACGGGAAACAGTTCCGATACTATATACAATGAAAATTCTGTCCCCTACTCCTTGTACCATCCTCTTCAACATTAGTAATACATATACTTGGTCAACCCTACGCAAAAAAAGACTTCCGCCTAGCTACTCCTAACTTCCCGGCCCCTGCATTTTTTAACAAAGTTAGGAACCTTTAAATATCCCAAGTTGCAAGCACGATAACAAGTTACTAGTACCTCAACCGGGCCCCTACAAGTTTCCCTGTTGTGACCCAGTGATCGGCATCTCGTGCACCTTCTCCGCGAGGTTCTCTGTGCCAAAATGTGTACCAAACAATATTGATCTATTCGATATTTTTTGTTTTTTAAATAAAAAATATTTATATACCAACGTATTTGTTACATCTCTAAACTTACCCTGAATTCTCCCCTCGAGAAAAGTCGCCTTTTTCTGGGGCGACCTGACGCCCATCTTACAAAAGGAGGTGCTAACTTACCTCCACCTATGTCGCTAGGAGAAGGTGCTAGTGTTACCATGTCAGGAACTAGCATGATCATCTCGCCGTAATAGAACCTCAGAGATAAAGTTTGAAAATGGAATATTTTTAAAAATTGTATTTGAAAAGATGTATTTTTGAAATTATCTTTCTCTTCCAACCAAAGATCTCTTCCGACCAAAACAAAAAAAACTCTCCATCTCTCTCTCGTGTTCTCTCAGACAACAAAACAATTTCATCTCTTGCCTGATCTGGTTAAAAATATTTAGCAAAACTTTGGCAACAATTAAAATATGATTTGTATTATGTGTTTTTATTATGTTTTAGTTATATTTGTATTATGTGTGTTACAAATTAATAATTTTTATGTTTTGTAAGATTTTAGTTTTCAATTTTTTTTTTAAGAACTCCGATTAAAAGTTTTACCATTTGAGGTGGATAATTTTAATTATCTTCAAAAAATTCTTATTTTCAAAAATTACATCATTTATTAGTAAAAATTTACTAAAAGATTTTGATAGCATACTACTATTAGACATGCTCTTACGCTACATCTCTCTGTGTCTCTCTCTCTCTGAGGTTCTTTATAATGGCTACTTGGAGTGGTTTCAATGTCTCTTCTTCTCCTTTTCTTAGGCTTCTCTCTTACTCCGTCAAAAATTCCACCCAAATTCCGTTTCTCTCTCCTCTTTTCCGTCGTCGGTTACTGGCAGAACGCTTCGGTCTCGCAACTATCGTTGTTTCGCGCCAAGACCTCCTAGTTTCTTCGGCGCACGCGGCGGCGATTGAAGCTCGCGTCTCAGGAAAGAGAGAACCCATGGTGCCTCCATATAACATATTAATCACTGGCTCAACAAAAGGTTTAATTCATTCTCTGTCCTTGTCAATTTACTCTTGGCTGTGTTAATCTTCACGAATTCGTTTATTTCATAATCATCTCATTGTGCGTGGTGTTTGTTTTTAATTTTATTCAAGTATAGGATATGCATTAGCTAGAGAGTTTTTGAAAGCAGGCGACAATGTTGTGATTTGCTCTAGATCAGGTGAGAATAATCTAAGAACCAGTCCCCATTGTTGTTTTGAAGACCTTTTCTTAGAATTCGTGTGTCATTTAGCAACGATCTAACGTGTAGTACCCAGGCTTCAACTCAAAGTTGTTCCTCTGAAATGCAGGAGGACGTATGGCAGGACGGTTAGAATAGAACAGTGCAGGCCTGTTGTATTCTCCAAGTGTACGGTTTTCATCCTCTGTTTCAGCATGCAACGGTAACTGATTGTTGTCTGCTGCGGCTTGGTGTCGATCGACACCCAGTTGGTGTCGCTCGACACCGACGACGACTGGCTCAGGAATCACAGTCCCGTCAGTATTCAGCTTCTGCCCTTGTGCATTCCTCAGATGCCCATCTCCATCTCTAAGAGTACCCTCAGCATCTTGAATCAAAATCACTGGCGCAACTATTGCTGCCTGTTTCTGAGCTTTTCGATTCTCTCTTTCTAAATCCGCTAGTTCTTGATTGTTGAGATCAACTAGCTCTGTGTTCTTGCTGCTGGTATTAGGCATAAACCTGAAACACCAAAAAGAAAAGAGAAAAGAAAAGCGTAAGTAACAAAATAAAATAAAAACTTAGACTAAACTCTTAACCTTAATCTAATGGTAATCAAAATTGAGTCCCCGGC